ATAGCCACAGAGTTTCTTAGCTTTGTCTTACTTGACGTCCATAGAAACTTTGTTCAAAAGCCTGCTTTTCTGGGTCTGGTGCTGCAAAGCTTCCTACACAAGTTGACGTCACTCTAAGCCAAAGGAAAATGTGAAAAGTTGGCATTTGCACAGCAGGTGCGAAACACAGAAACTGTCAATGTACAATTTCATCCCCTCCTACCCTCCACACTGAGTCATCAGAGCTTGGGGCCAGTGGTCTGCAGCTCACCACACTGGGCCATGGCCACGGCCACCTCCTAGCCCAAACACAGCCCTGGTTCAGCCAGGGACCTATCAGAGGACCGCACACCTCACCCCAAAGAGAAAGAACTCCCTGGAAGCTTTTGAGTTGAACCAGACCCTCTTTCATTGATGGCAGTCCTCACATTCATTTCTTTCGTGAACCCTTATTGTATTTTTATGGATCATCATGTTCTTGAAGAAAAACAGTCTAAGTCCTAATATAGGTCTTTACATTTCCTAAAATATTAAAAAGGTAAAAGGAAAGAGGTAAGCTTCTATTTTGATAACATATTTTCTCTAATTCAATATATCTAAAATTCTTAGCCTTTCCACCATAAAATATAAGAAGCATGAGTGATGTATTGTGGTGTTCATAATAACAAAACTTGTTTCAGAATATTTTTCAGTATAGCCATCCCCTCAAAGCATGAAATGTTTGGAATATCAAATGGCAGATAATGTTTGACCTGTGTGTGAGATGTGTGAAACGCTAGTTCACGGAATGTCATTGTGTGTGAGGAGCAACGTTAAGAAACGTGTCAGGACCTGTTGGTGAAGCAGGACTGGCTCAGTGGGACAAGCCCATTGCTCTCAACTACCCGAGACTGTCTTGAGTGCTCGGAGCCCAGCACCACTGTCTTGAGTGCTCGGAGCCCAGCACCGCTCGAAGGCCACACTGGCCTGCAAGATCTCCCCTGATCTTGCACTCAGTGCAGGGACCATAAAATACGCGAGGACAATGGCTTCAGGACCCATCCAGGATCTGAGACCCAGAGAGAGGTTCGTGGGATCTGAGATTTAGTGCCAGATGGGAATGTGTGTGTGTGTGTGTGTGTGTGTGAGAGAGAGAGAGAGAGAGAGAGAGAGAGAGAGAGAGAGGGAGAGAGAGAGAGAGAGAGACAGAGAGAGAGAGAGAGACAGAGAGAGTTAGGGGACAAAATAGAGTTTGGATTAGTTTGTTGTTCGCATAAAAACAAAGCACTGAAAAGCAGATTGTTATTTCAGAAGGTTATAGAACCGCTAGGGACATACTTTTCATCTCCTTCTTCTGTTCTCTCTCTTTGCTTTGTTTTTGTACTACTGCAAACTCACTATGTAATTGCAAATATTTCACTTGGGGAAACCCACATCCTACCTGCGCAGTAGCCAAGTACTTCAGAAAGTTTAAAAAGTCATTAAAATATAAGTTTATTTGAAACTTGTGAATAGATTTTTCACAGAAGACATTTCTGTGGCTTTTGGAAGACACTGTCGGCATCGATTTCAGATAGTTTTGCACCAAAACAAATTTATCTTTTCATTTCATTTTCCAAGAGCTCTTGGATGCCCCTGACACGTGGCCCCTCACTGCACTCAAGTGCTAACACTGGTTTTCCTACTTTCTTTGAGCCCTGTCCCCATCCTCTTCCATCTCAGGAAGAACTCATGACTCATTTCTCCAAGGAAAATCTGAGCTGGTTTTCCCAAACCATCTGTCATTTCCTTTCAGTCTCAGCACATACCTGCTGCAACATGCGTAGCTTCCTCGAGTGCCTCTCCACCTTCACGTGGCCCTTGTATCTTCTTTCTTTGTCAGCAGTCATTTTCCAATCATTACTTATAAGTAATTTCAGCACTTCCTGCCTTTGTTGAGACTCAGCGTAACCAAAAGTCTTTTCCTTCCGGAACACTTGCCTCTTCCTTTTCTCTAATATCTTCAGATTTTGTTCAACTCTAAGGTTTACTGGTTGTTCCTACTCCCCAAACTGCAGTCTTTTTTTAACCTCACATTTCCGAGAAGGCACCTGTGCCCACGCTGCTGACAGCTGTCAGGGAGCGACTGGCCTTCAGATCAAGTCCAGTGGTCCTGCCTCAGCTCTCATTTCCCTTGCAGTGTGAGCAAGCTTTTTTCTCTTGGTCGGCCACTATTTGTGAACCCTTTCAAATAACCTGGACTCTTTTTTTATGGCTCCATTTAGTCCTTTTTAACCTTTAAGCTCTCCATTTCATCTGTATCCATCCTGCCCTGGAGATCAGAAGACACCAAACATGAGGTTTTTTTTTTTTTTTTTTAATCGTGTTTACTGAATTTCATCCCTGCATCTCCAGTTGCCTACTAAACACGTTTCTGGATGTCTTTGGGTTTATGATAGCCAGGATGGTTGCAACTCAGAGCAACTGTAGGCAGACTCTCCACAAGTCGTTCAGCTTCCAGGCCTTTTAGAGTTACTAAGTAGCGCATGTGATTGCCAGCCATGCATCTGTGCTCTGTCTGGCATCTCCGCCCTGGGGCTGTGTCAGAATGCCCTATGTTGATGTCATATTAAAGCCTGGAGATTTAAACACAAGTGTCAGCTCTTCCCCCAAACCAGTTCATTCTCCTCTATTTCCGATTTTTGCCAGTAGTGCTAATGACTGAGCCACATCAGAAATGTGTTCACCCTTAATGAACTCTCCCTCTCTGTCCTCCAAGCTAATTAGTCACCATTCTTGTCCACGAGTCCTTTGTAATATTTTCTTATCTCTCCCTGCCGTCTCCTTAACAAATTGTCCTCCACATTTCGTCATTTCTAGCAATATCATTTCCGCAAACTCTCTTAGCCGTCTCCCGCAAAGTAAGATATACTGGCGCTGAATCAGCATTTGTTTGAATGAATGCTCGGACGTCCTAGGCAGATGCTAAGTTCCTTAAAAGCAGGTGCAAACATGTATGACTTCTTGATTTCTGCGCTTGACAGATGTTAAAGTATCAATACCTGTTTATTATTGATAAGGCTTTAGTGAAAATTTCTCTTGAAATATTTAGTTCTGAAGGCAATTTTAAAGAGAAGTAGGTTGCCATAAATAAACTTTACATAACTTTTGGAGACATTTAACATATAACATGAGAGGGATAACTGCTTTGTTTTGGAAAAGCATCAAATTTACGGTTTGCTTCTTCTTCCCCCTAGCTAACAGGTAAGGATACAGATTCCTTAATTTTCTTTGAAATAAATTTTTTTTTTAATTTTTGAAGATCTTTACGTACTTGATTATACTTTATGAGGGCACAAAGGGTCAAGAGCTAGACAAAAGTGGGTAAGAACATTGTTCCTACATTCTCTTATTCCTTCCTGTATCTGGGAAAAGAGGGGAGATAAAAGGAGAAGCCACACCCAGCCTCCCACACATCCCAGGTCCCCGATGTGGGGCATGCTCCGAGGGCACTGCTCAAGTGGTGTTGATAGTTCTGAATTGCTGCCAGTCTCGCCATTCCAAGTGCTGTGAAATCCCTCCAGAACCCACCGGCTACCTTAGAGCCACCATTTGCCCAAATTTTCACTGCCAACACTTGGCTGGGGTAGTTGATCGATTTGTTTCTGTCCTCTGTTCCGGTACCAGGCATCCTCTGCAGGTGCTAATGTACATTATATCCTTCAGGTGCAACCAGCTTTGCTAACACACTGTTTCATCTAAGCCACTGAGAAGGCCCAGCTCTGACACATGGTCGGACCATGGACTCTGCCGTGTTCTCCATTGAAATTTTAATCGATTTTTTCATTTTATTTGAAAAGCAGAGATATTGAGAGAAAAATAGGTTAAGACAGATCTCCCATCCACTGGTTCACTCTGCAAATGGCCACAATGACCAAAGCTGGACTGGTCTGAAGCCAGGATTCAGGAGCTTCTTCTGGGTCTCTACATGAGTGCAGGATCCCAAAGACGTGACCCATCCTCTGCTGCCTCTTACCAAAAAGTGCTTATGGGCCACGCTCTACTTCCGACACTGCAGGAGTGTTACGGAGGAAACAGCACAGTTTGTTGCCCAGCGACCACCCATTAGAATCTCTGAGTTAATGTCACTGATGCACGAGGCAGGGGTAGAGAGGGCCTGGGGGGAGGGGTAATTCTCTCCTCCTTCCCATTGTGGACATGACCACAGCTGATTGCAGAAGAAACTGTCCCTTCTGGCCGTGCCTCTTCACGGACCTGTGTAACAGGTGCGGGGGGGCTGTTCCCAGGGGATGGGGCGTGTTCTACACTGTTCTTTCTCCCACTTACACAGGTGTTTGTGTGGGAACAGCTCCCTGCTGGTCTCTGAGCAGGTGGCTGGGATGCAGTTATTGAAGCCAGCTGTCTCCAGGTGCACCCACTGCACAGGAAGCTGATAATAAACAGTACAAGGGGTCTCCAGAAAAACCATGAAAAATGTGTGTTGTGGAAAAACTAGGCATGCATCCCTACGTGTTTTCTACACTAACCTTTTAAGTTCATTTCCCCTTGGACTTTGTGAAGTCCCCTCACATCTTTATCCAAACATTGGTGGTGTTAGCTGAGTGTCCTGGAATCTCCGCGTGCTTTCTAAGGCACTGAATTTTCCTGTACATGCATTTTTGTTGTCGCTGCCCCTTCCTGGAAACATACTCTTTTGAAAATATGTATGCATGGGCTTCAAAATATTTTTGCACCTCTGTATGGTTACCATGGAGACAGCAGGTTGCCATGGAGACAGCAGGATGGCAAGGTGCGTCCAGATCGGTGCCACCCAGAATTGGGTACTCTGCAGAGCCCTCTGTTTCTCCCAGCAACACGTCGTTCAGGCCACCGCGTGACATGCCCTCAAGCTCCTCCCTGGGGGGTTGGAGGGGTCCCTGGAGAGTCCTTTGAGTCACATGGAGGGAGAGTGAGTGTCCCTGGCGCAGCTGCACGGGCCCCTGCTTGTAGAGCAGTCTGAACGAAGGACTCAGCAGTGTGCGCGTCTGTGTCTGTGCCCACAGCGATCGACCTGCTGTACTGGCGGGACATCAAGCAGACAGGGATCGTGTTTGGGAGCTTCCTGCTGCTGCTCTTCTCTCTGACCCAGTTCAGCGTGGTGAGCGTCGTGGCCTACCTGGCCCTCGCCGCGCTCTCGGCCACCATCAGTTTCCGCATCTACAAGTCTGTGTTGCAAGCTGTGCAGAAAACCGACGAGGGCCACCCTTTCAAGTGAGTGTCTGCTTGCCCAACCCTCACCCTACCCCCCTTGCTCTTCCGGGTCAGGTCAAGTGCCCTCTGGTCCATCACCTCCCTGAGGATCGCCATAACACCCTGCCGGTGCGTGCTGAAATGAATTCAGTGATCCTAACCTGCTACTTCTAAAATGTCACGCAGAACGGAATCAAATGATCAATTTATTCTGGTACCGAAAAAAAAAAATAATGAAAGCTACACATTATGTCTCATAATAGGTAATATCCATGAATTTTGGCAAGTATCATAGTGCCTTGATTTCATAGTTTAATTACTGTCAATGGTCATCGCAATCCCCTACGTGTGTGCAGCACTTTGCAACCCAAAGAGCATTTCAGTGGTTGCTTCGCTTTCCCAACTGTGCGAGGAAAGAAGGGCAAGAAGGTCTGACAAAGCAGTGACTTGCCCCAGCTCACACGACCAGCAGGTGGCGCTGAGCCAGGACTATGGTGGTTAAAATTTTACTTCCACGCTTTCTCTGGAAGGTTATCCTTGTGATGGATGCCAACTCTTACCGTGTGTCCTCTCCTGCATTTTTATACTTTTGGGGCATGTGATTAGACTGTAGATTGAAATGAGGACATTTAAAATTGCAATCAGTGGATCTACTTAAAAGAACATATGAGAGGACCTCAAAATAGACAGGCAAAGTAGGGTTGAAAGGTAAATTTATTTTGATGTAAAAAAAAAAAAGTTTGAAATACATGCATATTCAGAAACTCCGAGAGTTCATGCAAAAGATGTATTATAAAAAACAAATATGCATGGGCTTCAAAATATTTTTGTACCAAAATAAGCTTGCCTTCCATTTCATATCCCCGTGAACTTTTTAAGTCCCCTGCTGGGCGGTATGGCAGAGGATGGGTCAGCGCTGCCAGCCGCACCCACCCAGCCCATGGAGTCTGCAGTGTGATCCCAGGTACTGTGGCACTGTCTGCCAGTGCCAGGTCTGCAGCCCCAGCATGCAGGCTCCTCTGCAGGTCCTCCCTTCCTGGACCTGGGAGACAATCCTGAATGAATCCTACAGGAGATGCTACAGTGATGGTTCCTCTCCGTTGCATTGGCCCAGCTCTCCCTCAGCTTTGAGCCTAGCCAAGGCCTCGTGGTCCCAGGCTCTACAGTGAGAGAAAGGATGCTTGCTGGGGCTCTGGGGGTTAGAATGAGAAGGTGGCATATGAGACTCTGGTTCCTAGCCTCCATGTCAAGCACAGCCAGGTCTGGGCAGTCTTGACCTGGGGATGTGTTTAGCCTTCGGATGTTGCATTAGTGGACCTGAGCTGTGTCTTGGCTACACTGGAATCCTCCAGGTAGAGAGAAATGGGAAATACAGCATCTTCTCGCTTCTGCCATGATGCCCAATACAGGGATTCCCAGGAGAATCCTCCAAGTAGAGAGTTGGTGTTGTTCAAAAGCGGAAGAGGGAAGGAGGGAAGGAGGGCTGGGCAGTTGTAGAGGAACTTGACCAAGCTGGGCTGGTCCTTTTTCTATTTTATTATTTATATTGGTATATGTATTTTATGAGTTAACTTTGAACAAGTAAAGAAAGCGCCATCACCAGGAATACCACTCAATAGAATCAGTGAGCCTGTCGTGGTTTCATTCCTAATGTTGATTGGCCCGTAACAAATTGTACAACCACGTGACATTTCAACACATGCATACAGTCACCAGTCTGCACCCAGATTTTCAGCTAGCTCAACTGTTTTTAAAAAGACAGGCTCCTTTTCATGCAGCTATAGGTGAAGAATTCAACCAAGCGGCTCATTCTGACCATTTTTGTCTGGTCCTGGTTGATGATGATTCCTGAGAATTAGCGGTGCACTCTCCAACACTGTATCTTTGGTAGACAGAAACAGGACGCCCACCACGTGCCTCCTACGTGCTGCAGGGGGCTACAAGCTTTTAGCGTGGTGGCTGGCTTGTCCCCAGGAACTGAGAGAAGGAACAGGAGCCGCTCTGGGCGGTGGCGGCTGGTCGATGACACCTTCTGATGGGACTGTGTGCGGGACGTTCGTTGGCAGGACCTACCTGGAGCTGGAGATCACCCTGTCTCAGGAGCAGATGCAGAAGTACACGGCCTGCCTGCAGTTCTACGTCAACAGCACGTTGCACGAGCTCAGGCGGCTCTTCCTCGTCCAGGACCTGGTGGATTCCCTGAAAGTAGGTCTGCTAAACTCTTCCCTGTGCACTCTTGGGGTTCGCCTCCCTGAATGTGTCATAATAGTGCTGTGTCAGACAATATCATATCTGCACTGATCTACAGTCAGAAAGCCCTGGAGCTCATGAAGTCTGTAGCCTTTTACAGATTAAAACAACAACAACAAACTCAGAGTTCAGACATTTCTCTGCAGCCACTGGCTGCGATCAAACCCAGGACACACAGCATCAACCAGCTTGTCTTAACTCATTTTCAATTCCTCGGCCAGTGTCCTTAAAATAATTCTTTAAAAAAAAAATCTGCTTGGGGGAATGAGAACGGTATATGTCCTTTTTCTTCTTCAAGGAACTCTGCCAACAGTAAGACCTCCGAGTGTCCTAGGGCTGAGTCGCCTGAAAGACAAAGGTTTGCACAGCCCGGACCTTGATGAGGGGCCGGAAGGTACTAGGGTGTATTGTTGGTGCCCTGCTGAAATTGCCCAGTTACTCTAAGTAGCTGCTTTGGCCCCTTGGTGGCTCACATAGAACATCAGATCTCAGCAGTCATGGTTTGGTAAGGCCAGGAGCAGACTAGGGGACAGCTGAGTCATCTGTTCTCCAAGGACACTTTCCACTGCTGACTGGCACCCCTGTACCAAGGGCTCCCTGATAACTAGAGGAGGGCAGAAGGAAAAACGGGGGTCATGAACTTGACCCTAAAGGTGCTTGACTCGGCACGTCATGATTGGGACGGCATACCAGGGATGCTACAGTTTCTTACATTGGTTCTTTTAGGGGATTGGGAGACTTTATCTATAAAGGACCAAAAAGTAAAACATTTCAGGGTTTGCAATGCTCGCACCTCTCCGGTAGCTGCCGAGCTTTGTCCGCCGTAGTGCAAACGCAGCGAAAAACAACGCGTGAGTAAAAGCTTCCAATTGTGCATCCATAAAACTACAGAAACTGAAAGCTGACTGACTCTTTCATGTGTCATTCAGTATCCTTTCTGTTTTGATGTTATTTGACCATTGAAAAATTAAAAAAAAAAATTCTTAACCCATGGGTTCGCCCAAAACAAGCCAAGGGTCCCAGCTCGCTGACCCCTGAACCCTAGGCTACTGTTTCAGTGAGTCCCTTTGAGTCTTGCAGCAAATTGATTGAAAGACTTGTAAGCAATCTAAAGACCCAGTTGCTCTTGGAGTGATTTTGTGATGAGCTTTGAAACTTCACTGCCTCTTTCACTTCCTGTGGAAATCACGATTCTAATCTCATAGTGAATGATGCTGGCGTGTTTTGCGTCCGAAGTGGTTCCACATCTGATCGTCTCTTGCATCTTCAGTTTGCAGTACTGATGTGGCTCCTGACGTACGTTGGCGCTCTCTTCAATGGCCTGACCCTGCTGCTCATGGGTAAGGGGGAACGAGAGAACTTATGTCTTCCCACACTCACACAGTGGCTTCCTAGGTTGCCGGCCATGAGTTTATTTTGATAGACTGCCAGAAATAAGCCCAGCTCACTTCCCAGCTCAGTTCAATTAAAGAGTGCAATATGTAGGATGCCCTAACAAGGAATTTCTGAATCTGAAGTTTGGGTTTTCTTATTTTCCCATTTGGTCACAGCTGCTTTCTCGTGACTTGGGTCTGCGTGCAGTGACAGCCACAGGGAGAGATTCATTCCATCTTGGGGGGAAGACACAGTTTATGGTGACTGTAGAAATGATCACATCATATCTGAAAAGACTCAACATTGCTTTGTTTTGCTTAAGAACCTTTGTGCCATCTTTCACCTAGAATTCTCGTGATGTCGAATAATGCTCGAATGTCATGTAACTGCGCAAGAATGTCAGCTGTTTCTGGCTGAGCGCCATCGGAGTGTTAACACCGTGTCTGTTTCTCTTCCTAGCTGTGGTCTCCATGTTCACTCTGCCTGTGGTGTATGTGAAGCACCAGGTAAGCTCCATGCCGTGTCAGACGTTCACACCAAACGTCGTGCTGTGCTCGTCTGTGGGGTGCTCATGGTCTGCTTCTCTCCTAGGCACAGATTGACCAATATCTGGGACTTGTGAGGACTCACATCAACGCTGTCGTGGCCAAGTAAGTTATGCAAAACGAGGCTCTCCGTGCAGGCACTTGAGCAGATGAAGTGGGGGTAGTAAAAAGCCGGTAAAAGGTGATTCATGGTAACTCCCTTAGTTAAACCACACAGTCATTTCTTTCCCGTATTATTTCAGCAAACAAGTATAAATTGTGTAGTTCTCAGCTGAACAAGGCCTTCAGTGCTGTTTCAGCTTTTGTGGCGAGTGAGCCTAACGAATGAAGGCTGCTTGGCTCCGAGGACTGGCCTGTGTCCACCACCAGGATGGGTTGCAGGAAGGCAGGAAGGCCTGAGCCGGCAAAGCAAAGCAAAAGGAATGGCTTAGTTGTAATTAAAGCAAATAAGTTAACCAACCTTTTTTTTTTTTTTAAATGACAAGGCAGATTTACAGAGAGAAGGAGAGACAGAGAAAGATCTTCCATCAGCTGGTTCACTCCCCTCATAGCCACAACAGCTAGAGCTGAGTCGATCCAGAGCCAGGAGCCAGGAGTCTCCCCTGGGTCTCCCACACAGGTGCAGGGTCCCAAGGCTTTCGGCCATCCTCCACTGCTTCCCCAGGCTACAAACAGGGAGCTGGATGGAAAATGGAGTAGCTGGGACATGAAGTGGTACCCATATAGGAGCCTGGCACTTGCAGGCAGAGGATTAGCCGGTTGAGCCATCGCATGGCCCCAGTAGTTTCAGCAAATAGCACTACAGAAATCGTTTTTAAAATATATAAACTTCTTGTTAGTTACATATTTGAATTCCGTCATCTTATCTTAACCACTGCGTGAGTGTATCTGTTTAAGTAGCACTTGTTTGAAGGTGAGTCTCGGACAGGCCCTACTTGATGGGCCAGCTGAGATCATAGGATTTAAGGTTTTCAGTTTTACATATCCACAGTCTGCATGGTTATTCCACTTAGCAATTTCCTCTAACTCAAAAAATAGTATTTGAAGTATGCCTTTTCTCTAAAATGATAATTTTTATATTGTACTCTTTGCTCACTTTTTCTTAGAATTTTACTCATATCCTGACCTAATCTTTAACAGCAGAAACATGGAGCTAATGGACTATACTTTGTGAACCTAATTTCCATCTAGTTTGTCTCATCTTTATGTGGCTGGGGCTACGTGACAGATTTAAAGGGAGCCGTTTTGGACAGTTCAAGATGTGTAGTAAAGATATGGCAAAGTGCTTCATCATTTCAGACACGCATGTCCTGTACTAAGTGCTGTGTCCCACCCTCCCTCCTTGGATATGTTACCAGCTCCAGCATTCTGCTGATGTATATACCCTGGGGGCGGACACTGGGTGATCGCTCAGCTACTGGGGTCCCTGCCACCCACCTGGGAGACCCACTCCGAGTTCCGGCCTCTTAATAACAAATGAGTTCATTTTTAAAAAAGCAAAGGTATAATAACAAAATGAAGAAGAAAGGACACTTACACGCAGTCCCCTACGATTGGACCCCATGCCACCGGGTACTTCTTGAGGGATGTGAAAGCTCTGAAGTTTGCTATGTTCTATTTATGTTTTTCCTCTTAAAGCCACTGGGAGCTTACAGATGCCTGTGGCGACTTTGGATCTGTAGTGACTCTATGGTACATTTCAAAGTGCCTGAAAGGAGTGAATTGGACCCAATATCTAGTGAGAGATAAACAAGTTAAGGATAAAGCAGCCATTGTTTTGTCTTGATTTTCAAATAAGAAGAGTCAGAATTCTCTTGGAATACATAAAATGCTGAATTTCAAGTGACATTCTAGGATGGACTAGTGAAGTTATGTATATAGACAGTGAACTTCTCACTAAATCGAAGGACCAAATAGACTGCTTCAACCACACATGCTCTGGTTTCAAGGGACTATGCAACAAATCTTCCTGGTGTCCTTGTGGAGAAAACCGCAGATGAGTGGCTCAAATGGTGATGCAGTTTGTAGAGTGACAGACAGCAGGGATGCCCATCAAGCCATCAGCTTTCTGGAGTAAAGTACTGTGACATACGACAGAGGAAAGGGCCTATGAAGGCACATTAAATGTAATTATCAAAGTTCTAGGTAACCCACAGCCTGAAGCAGAAGCAGATTCAGAGTTTGAAGTGGATCATGGGATCTTGAGCAAGCTGGAATGCTCAGCTGAAATCAACACATGAAATTAACAGGGACCATAAACGCCTATGTAGGGAGTGGGGAAGAGTGTACCATGGTGTGTGCAGAAAGTAATAAGGCCTTTTAATGGGTTAGCCAGATAGGAATTAAACATATACTTGAAAGGACAAGTACAGGTTTGGATATTATTAATAGGATCTAAAGTCTGAATTGTAACAGGCCCTGGTCGTGTTATGTGCCATATCAGCCATTCCATATTTGCATTTAACTTCAGTGTTAGAAATTTTAAAAGATGAGGTGACACAGTAGAATAATGCCACAACAATGTCCAGGGTGGTGAGATGTTAGAATTATCTGACCAAGTTGGAAGACAAAACTTCCTTTTGGCACATAACCTGAACAGAAGATGGCCTTCGTTGATACAGTAGCTGTCTTGAAATATTTGGAGATTTACTGCTGTTAATGGAGTGGGCATTCTCTTTTTTGCTATAGAGCAGGGAATGGAAAGTCCACAGTTCTGAGAGCACAGTGCAATGTGATCCAAAGTGGTAACACGCAGAGTTGCCCAACAGTTGCCCAACTTGCCTCACGAGCACTGAGCTCACATGGTATCTATTCCGATATTCAAGTAGAAATCAATTGACCAGCATCACATCTGTTCTCACCTGATTCCTCCCTGGTTCACCTGTCATGTGATCCTGTGGTTTCACTGCTTATGTCAGGAGCTCCAAACTAGCGGCTCTTCCCCAGTCTTGTCTCCTGAACGACAGACCGATGCCCCTGCTTATCTGATGCTTTCTCTGCCCTGTGTCTTAGAGATTTCAGATTCACATAACCGAGCGATTCTACTGTACAGGCTTTTTCTTGGTAAATTGTGTTGCCATTCACCTAGCTGCTCTGTCCGAATGCTGGGGATTCCTAGACGACTCTTCATCTTCCTCTTGCCCATGTGTTACAGCCAATACCAAGATCAAGTGGGTTGATGAGCCCCATCTCCAATCGCTATGCCCAATACAAGAACCCCCACTCTTTGCCTTGCACCTGCAGCTCAGTGTAAGACTCTGAAACCCCCTAGATCATCATGTGCCCACCAGACCTGTGTGTCTTAAATGACTGGATTTTAAATAGGGGGCACCCACTTGACCACCATGACCTCTCCCTTCCTGTCAGGCCAGCTTGCTTTGCTTGGTTTTTGTCATCATCTGATTGTCTCTTCATCCACTTCTGTCCCTTCAATCACTGCAAATACGAAGACTTCGTGACTGCAGCCGCTTTTCCCCTGTTGTCGGCCAGAGCATTCCAGCACATACAGGTGCCTCGCACACAGAGGAAGGCCTAAGCAGAGTCTGCATGATGAGCTCACAACATTTCCAATGAACAAGTAAAATACTGCTGGTGTAAACTTATCATAAGGTGATTGAGCATTTGAGGCATCGGTGACGTCTAGTCCATACCCACCTAACAGGGATGACGTCTCTAAGAGACGTCATAGTGATGGGCTCTTGGAGACTCGGGTCGCTGTCTTCATCCCAGGTGGGCAGCTTGCCACACCCAGGGTCCACACTGAGTTCTTTACCTGCACGGTCTCTGCAGGTGCTCATCTTTCTGCACCCTGGGAGGCAGCAGGGGTAGCCCAGGGTGTGGGTCCCTACCACCCACATGGGAGAGTGGGATGGAGTGCCTTGGTCTTACCTTTGGCCTGACCTGCCCCCAGGGAGTGAACCAACAGATGGAAACTTTCAGCCTCTATGTTTCTGCCTTTCACAGAAGTAAAATTTAAAAAAAAAGTTTTTGAAAGTATATACATATATATAAGTGATGACAATGGAGACTTTGAATGTTTTGATATTTTCTTCTTAGGATTCAGACGAAAATCCCAGGCGCCAAGAGGCACGCCGAGTAGTGGCTGTCCCTGAGGACTGGACACACACAGGAATGTCGGGTGGTAACGCCTCCTCACTTGTTACCTGTTACTGCAAATCCATGGTTTCTTCTCCCCTCCCCGTCTCCCCCCACCCCGTCACCCAGTACCGTAATCTTAGATACAAACTTAACAACAGCTGTTTTCAGGCTGTTCCTGTACCCTTAGGATAACTTGAGTCACTTGTGTCAAGCGCTGAAGTATAGAGAAAAGTGTTTTAGCTGTGCTTTTCTTTTTGTGCATGACGGTGCGAGCCCACCTTATCTTTTCTTCTTGGATGTTCTTCTCCTTGCGACGCTTCTGTAGCTTATAACGCTCCCCCTGGCTAGGCCTTTCCCGCCCAGCGCACCGATGTGATTGTGCAAATCGCTTACATGTTTTTGGATTGCTGGTTGGATTCATCTTTAATAACAGTATATAGACTTGTAGACCGATGTTTTAGCAGTTTTCCAACACATACAATGTAAAAATTAAAAAAAAAAAGTCGACCGTACTTATTGTAATCAGTTTTGTATAACTTAGCTAAAGAAATAGACAAACCCCAAACGAAGACGCAGTACTTTTGTTGTATGGGACTGATGGGCTGACTTACATGTATGGTAACTAAAAAGTACCAGCCTGTTGACTTTATTACACTTTGTATGACTTTATCTGTACCTCCTAACGGACTTAACTATGGACTTGGGATATTTGCACTTACGTACTTGATGCTGAATGCAGAAATAAATGTTACTAAATGTACACTGCGCTGTCTCGCTCTCTTCTCACCATCTTCCATGAGAAGATGCCATTCTAGGGGAACAGAGCCCATGTGCCCACCTTTCTCCTCTCCCAGGACGGCGGGGTCTAGCCTCAGCCTGGCTCATGGCTTCCTTCCATTGTTAGTGGAACTCACTGGCAAGCAGCACCCTGGAAAATTTTGTTCATACAATACTCTGCAGGGTGAATATAAGTATTTTCACTTGTTAAGAAAACCCTGAAAGTGACAGAAAGGTATGTACTTAAGTGTTTTATATATCAGGTTGTAACCCAGTACTGGTGTGACTACGATGAACTTGTGGTAGTTTGTCAAGTACCTGCCGTGTGCTAGGCGTTGGGAACTGGTGGGTCCTGCCCTCCAGAACTGCCCAGTGCTCTCTGTGAAAGTCTAATTGCAGTTCTGTTTCATTGATGGAATCAAAATCAAAGATGAAGCAAATGATAGGAGTTGCAATGGAAGGCAGAAAGAGCGAAAAAGAAGCGAAAAATTTACAAAGCACATCGACCAGTTTTATTCTCGGGTTTAGTAGCTATTCAGAGTCACTCCTATGTACAAAGAGATTTGAGGGCTACCAGGGCAGCTTGACATGGTGCCAACAGCCGTGAAGTCTCCTCTTGGTGTCAGGGTCGGGGAAATGCTGAGCAAACAGGAGGCAGCATGAAGTAAGAGCTGGGAAGAAGCTTCCAGCAAACAGGGCAGGTGAGCTTGGCGCTGGGGCCTGCTTGGAATTTTGCCAGTTGAAGAAGATTCGCTCTGAAAATGGAGAGCAAGAGCTAAGGTGCAAAGATGCGGAAAAGCGTGGCAGTGCAGTCTGTCCGGGAAGCTGTAAACGAAACTCGGCTGTTAAGTGTGTGAGGTGGGAACTATAGTTTCAGGTGAGTAGGAAGAGTGGGGGTTGAGATCACACTGGAAAGAACAGGAATACCTGTATCAAGGAATGTATTCCTTAGATCTCAGGCCACATTATTGCTGAATCTAAGGAGAAAACTGTAACAGAATTCTATCAGCAAAGAAATGGCAGGTACTTAGGCCTTTGTTAGCACAGCCACAGGGAGACTGGACCACAGAGACTCACCTCTTCCTGATCCTTGTCGCTCGTCCTGCGTGCCCACCACCACCGTGGGCAGTGGAACAGCCCAGCGGGGTAGACAGAGGTCACACTGCAGGTGGGAGCTGACAGGCTCTGAGGCATCAAGATCAGACTCTGTCTGGGAGTGTGAATGCCTCATTCATTGTTGCCACCAAGTCAGCTTGTCTGCCTCACCCTGGTCCCCATCCTGTCTGACAAGGAAAGGCAATATTGTCTTCTAGGATGGAGCTTGGAAGTGCCTGATTTGGCCAAGGGAAATGATAAAGCTTGGTTTGGTGCCTGATAGTTTTAAAAGATGTATTTATTTATTTGAAAAGCAAAGTTATATAAAGAGAAAGAGACCTCTATCTGCTGTTTTGGCTCTGAAGTTGCCACATAGTGGCCAAGGCTGTGCCAGGCCGAGACAGAAACTGGAAACTACCTCCAGGTCTCCCATGTGGTACAAGTGCTCAAGCATTTGGGCCATCCTCTGTTGCTTTCTCAAGCCATTACCAGAGAGTAAAGTAAAGTAATTGGGAGAGCAGGCAGGTGGGGGAGAAGGCACGGTGGCATAGCAAGTTAACCTCTGCCCCTTACCACTGATATCCCATATCCGTAGTCCATTCAAGTTCCAGACACTCCACTTTAGACCCAGCTCTTTGTTTGTGGCCTGGAGAAGCTGCAGAGGATGACCCAAGTCCTTGGGCCCCTGCACCCACATAGGAGATGAGGACGAGGTGCCTGGATCCCAGCTTCAGATCAGCCCAGCTCTAGCTATTTCAGTCATTTGGGAGTGAAGCAGCAGGTGGAAAACCTCTCTCTGTGTTTTTCCTTCTCTCTGTAAAATCTGCCTCTGGAAATAAATACATCTTTTAAGAAGTGGAGTCAGTGGAGTAGCCGGGACTCGAACGGGTGCCCATAGAGGACACCAGCATTACAAGCTACGCAACTATGCCAGCCCCGGTACCTGATGTTTTTTTAAATAGGCAAGGGGTACTGAAGAGGATCTCCTTTTTGAGGATGTTCCAAACTTTGCTCTTGAAGACAGCTTATCGCATATGACTTTATGGTGTAGAATTAGTATTCAGTTCCTGCCTTTGTGGCATTTTCCTTTTGCCTAGCCTATTAGAAACAGCTGTTCCTTAGGACAATCTAATTAGCAATCAATGTCCTGTCTTGCAAAGTAACAGGCACTGGTGTCGATATGCAAGAAATGGAACCTGGGCCCCCTAATATCCCGCTTCTCCAAGAAGCGTTAGCCCAGACGGCGTCAGAGACTCGGGTCCTTGTCTTGCCTGGTCGCTGAGTCTCCCAGGAACTTGGCACACTCAGTGATTGCGGTGGCATATTCTAAGATGACAAGAGAGTGTACTACATTATCATCCTCCCTGCGGATGCTTGAATATAACTCATGCTTTGTTTGCCTTCAACAGGTAGGAGAGAATTTTCAGACACTTGCTACCATGAAGTGTACACCCGGCAGGATAAATGGAACTTTTGTTGGGGCCTCTGTGGTGTTTTGTGGGGTTTTCTGCTAAGAGCATTTGGGGGCCCTCATTCTGGGGAGAACCCTTGACCCACACTGGGGAGAGAGTGGTGTACTGCAGAGTGTAGGGTTTCTTACAGTTAAAGGTGCATCTACCTTGGTTGCTTTCTACAAAAACTTGGTTTTTCTTTGAATTTGATTCTTTAATTTCTGACATCGGGTATTAGATGTTAGAACTGACAACTGACAACAGCATTTGATTACTTGATTTCTTAGTTAAAAAAAAAAAATGAAGTCTCTCGGGAGTCATAAAGCATCCTTGAGCCAGACACCAGGCTAAGCTATTAACAAATGTCACTTCTCTTTGTCGGCATTCCAAATCCACACATGATTAATAATTCATCCTTATTGTCCAAATGAGGAAACAAGATCACAATGTGTCTGATTTTTAAAGCCAGGTTCCTTCCACTGGACGACACTGCCTTTCCGGCGTTTGCTGAGTTTTATCCCCTGAGTCTCAAGCCCAGGAACAATGGTGTCTAAGACAGACGGTTTGGGTGCTCGTCATAGAAACATACTAAGGCATCAACCACAGATGAGTACTTCCGGGAAGAACACCAGAGTCCAAGAGTTAACTCCAGCAGCCTAGAGTATCTTCCTAAAACTCACATTCTACTTTAGCTGTTGCAGTTGAAGACACGAGAACTTACCTCTCAGCCATGCCAAGAACAGAGGCAGAAAGGAACGTGTGCAAATCTTCATACAATGGTTCAGTTGTAAAGACACATCCGTTGCCACTATGACACATATTCACACTACAAGAAAAGAAGAAACCACAACCACCACGACTTGGTGCCCACTCTCCAAACGCCTTTATTGCCCAGAGCTGAGGGGTAGAGATCTTGCCAGTCAGCAAGAGTCATCCTTTGGGGTGCAGTGGGTTGTTGAGTCACTGCCACCAACCCAGGAGACCTGGAATGAGCTCCCTGCCCTTGGCTCTGGCCCCAGCCCCAGCTCCAGGCATCTTCAACATTTGGGGACTGAACCAAGGGGCAGGAGAGCCTTTCTCACTCTCTGTCTCTTTTTTGCCCTCCAAAATTAACGAATTAATTAAAACTGTATTCAAGCACTAATTCTAGCATAATCAAAATCCACTTAGAACCAAATGTTCTGTACCACTGAATCGGGGGGCAGGAGGGCCTCAGATCATCCTCCTAGGTCCGTAAGAGGGTGATCAGCGAGTCTGTGAGGACCAGTAGTTCCTGCCTTATGGTCCAGAGTCTAATGTGATGTGAAGAGGAAGTTGCCTTTTTTTTTTCCAGGTTTTTTTTTTCTTGTGTGATAAAACTTGATCTGCTGAAGGTTTGAGCTCTGTATTTTTATTTTATTTTTTTTAAGATTTATTTATTTATTGGAAAGTCAGATATACAGAGAGGAGGAGAGACAGAGGGGAAGATCTTCCATCCGATGATTCACTCCCCAAGCTGCTGCAATGGCTGATGCTATACCGATCCGAAGCCAGGATCCAGGAACTTCTTCCGGATATCCCACATGGGTGCAGCATCCCAAAGCTTTGGGCTGTCCTTGACTGCTTTCCCAGGTCACAAGCAGGGAGCTGGATGAGAAGTGGAGCTGCCGGGATTAGAATTGGCGCCCATATGGGATCCCGGCTCGTTCAAGGTGAGGACTTTAGCCGCTAGGCCACGCCACCAGGCCCAAACTCTGTATTTTTAAACATCCTAAATACACAATTCTTTTCTGTCACCCTATCCAGTAATATCATAAGCATGTAGCAGTTGCAAACTGCTATGCTAGGTACTGTGGAAGCTTGACGTTGACCCTACTTTGAAGGAGTTTATACTGTATAGAGATAATAAAAGCTGAATTACTGAGTTTTTTTTTTTTTTTTGTCCCAGGCATTATCATAACATTTTATATGACTTGACTTTATTCACATGATCTCCCTACAATTAAGGCCTATTTTTTGCAGACAGGAATGCCGAGGCCAGAGCTGAGCTGATACTGTGTCATAGCAGGAGTGTCTGCCATCTGCAACACTGGCTTCCCACGTGGAGCACTGCTTTGCATCCCAACTCCTCCACTTCCAGTCCAGCTCCAGGCTAACAGCCTTGGAGAAGCAACAGAAGAGGGCCTAAGTGCGTGGGTCTCTGCCACCCACACTCCTGGGAAGAGCCAGGTTAAGCTGCTCCTGGCTTCCGCCTGGCCCAGGGCTGGCTTTTGCTACCTTGTGGAAAGTGAACCAGTGAATGCAAGCTCACTCTTTCTCTCATTCTCTGTCTCAATCTTTCTCTCTCTGTCTCTTGTCTGACTCTACAACTTGAACCTTGACTTTGGAGATAAATGAATACATATTGAAAGGTCAAAAGGAAAATTGCTGCATAAAATTACAAAACCGTGAAGG